ATAGCACCTATGCCATTGAGCACCTGTTATAGCCCCATCCCAGTTAAACCCCTGTTAAACACTATGCCCAGTTGACCCCCTGTTAACACCTATCCCAGTTGAGCACCGTTTAGCACCTTGCCCATTGAGCACCTGTTTAGCACCTAGCCCATTGAGCCCCTGTTATAGCCCTATGCCCATTGAGCACCTGTTATAGCACCTATGCCCATTGAGACCTTTATACACCTTTTCCCATTTGAGCCCCTGTTTAGCCCCTATGCCCATTGAGCACCTTTTATAGCCCTATGCCCAGTTGAGCACTGTTAGGCACCTATGCCCAGTTGAGCATTTTTTTAGCACCTATCCCCCAGTTGAGCACCTTTTAAGCCCTATGCCCATTGGCACCTGTTAACACCATGCCCAGTTGACACCTTTTTAGCACCATGCCCTTGAGCACCTGTTATAGCCCCTATGCCAGTTGAGCCCCTTTTATTAAACCCCACCCAAACCCAGTTGAGACCTGTTATAGCACCTTGCCCGTTGACCACCTGTTTACACCTATGCCCTTTGAGCACCGTTATAGCCCCCTATGCCCATTGAGCACCTGTTATAGCACCTATGCCCATTGAGCACCTGTTATAGCACCTATGCCCAGTTGAGCACCTTTATAACCTATGCCCTTTTTGAGCCCCGTTTAGCACCTATGCCCAGTTGAGCACTTTAAAAGCACCTATCCCAGTTGACACCTGTTATAGCCCCTATCCCCAGTTAGCCCTGTTAAAGCCCTTTGCCCTTTTTGAGCACCTGTTAAGCACCTATCCCCAGTTGACCCCTTTTTTTATGCCCCTATCCCCAGTTGAGAAACCTTTAAAAACCCCTATGCCCCATTGAGCCCTGTTAAGCCCTATGCCCAGTTGAGCACCTTTATGCACCTATGCCCATTGACACCTTTTATAGCACTTTTTGGCCCAGTTGGGGGCACCTGTTAACACCTATGCCGTTGGCCCCTGTTATAGCACCTATGCCCAGTTAGCACCTGTTCAGCACCATGCCCATTGAGACCTTTTTTATAGCACCTATGCCCAGTTGAGCACCTTTTTAAGCACCTATGCCCAGTTGAGCACCTTTTTAAGCCCTATCCCCAGTTACCCCTGTTACAGCACCTATGCCCAGTTCACCTGTTATCCCCCTAGGTTCGGCTTGTATATGTTTAGGGGCGAATGAAGCAAAAAAGTTACAGTTGAAGACACTGGAAATAAAGTCTGATATAAATTTTGTTTTTAATTTGGTGAATTGGAATATAAAAAAACTGCCTATGAACAAAAAATATTTTGAGTATTTAATATTATATATAATAATATATATATATATATATATATATATATATATATATATATATTTTTAATTTATATATATATATATTTTTTTATTTTTTTTGTATCAATATTTTTCAAAGTAGTAATTTTTTTTTAAATTTAATTTATTATTATATTTTATAAAATTTTTTAAAAGGGGGGGGTACCATTTTTTGGAACCCTCCTGGTCCGCCCCTTCACTTTTCCCTTTAGTCCCAGACTTTTTAATTTTCTAAAAAACTTTCCCCTTTTACTAAAAAAATAACCCAAATCTGGAAAAAACAAAATTTTCCCTTTTGATTTATCTGAATCTTCAACTTCCAAATTTTGACCCCCTTTTTGCTGTGTCCCATCTTGGGAAAATCCGTCTCTTCCACCCTTTTCGTTCCTCTCATATTTTTTTGTCGTTGTTATATCCCCCCTATCTCTCCTTCCTCCCGGTCGTCAGGTCGATTTTCCTTAACCTCTCCCCGTGAACATGTCCCCTTAGCTCCGGGGGCTAGTTTGTTGCAAACCTTTTGCACTTTGTGTGTGGTGTGTGTGGGGTGTGTGTTTTGTGAGGGAGAGAACACGAATACCTTCACTTATTACACTTTCATTGAACTACATTGGTCCTTGAACCCCCATTACATCAAAATTTACTGCATCTGCAGTGATCAAGGCGAAACACCAAGGTTTTTTTAAATAAAAGGGTCCCAACTTAATGCCTTCTTTTCCCTCTCTTAGAGGATTTTAGTGGATTTTTCCTTTTCTTTAGACGCTATAAGATCTTGAAAAAAAAAAATTTAGCTTGATGTCTTTAAATTCAGGCGGCCTAAATTTTAAAGAGCACGACTAAGGGATAACTATACTAATGGGTTCAGAAACCCCTTTCCTGACGTAATAAAAGTTCCCGCCAGGGGGTATCTTCAGACACTTGTACCCTTTGTTTTCACGCCCTCTGTCCCCTTAAAAGGTTGGGGGGGGGCGTGAGGGAATTTTTAAAATGTTAGGCGTGAACATAAGCATGAGCGGTTAAATCGGTGTGAAGACAAAAGGTTTTAAGGGTCTGCTTTGTTGCGAGCAAAATACACGATCAGGAATTCAAAAAAAATCAGCCAGCCCGGCCCAAGTCCGCACTCGAGAAAAGGATGTGGTTTGTTTTTTCGAAGGGTCCCTTTATTTAAGGATGCTCGTCTTGAGATCCGAACTGCTCTATTATCCGTTTATGAGGAAAGTGTCCCCCAAAAAGGGTAACCTTTCGTCACAGTTGGAAGTGGCATCCTTTTTCCCTTTAGCGAGACATGGGCTGATTCTGTAGAACGGTAAAACCCTGGAAGCTATGGGTTGTGTTGAAATCTTTATAAATCAGGAAAAGTAGCTAAGAGGACACTTGTTAGGGTACAAACTAGCTTGGGTTTGGGTTTTTTTTTAACAGTACCTTGTGGGAAACCTTCCTTGGAGCTGGAGGTGCGAGCTGTTAGTGAAGGCTGGGCTTTATGTGATGAAAGTTATCTTTATACACTCAATCTCTTTTACATTAAAATTGCTCCCCTTTTGGGGTTTTTCCTGAATAAGATAATTGTAGGGGGTAATTCTATTTATCGGTAATATAGGAGTAGGAGATTGTCTACTTAAACCCCCCTGATTGATTTCTAATTTTAAAGGGTTTAAATGAGATACCAGTGGTGATAGAAAAAGACGTAAAAGACACTTTTGCAAACAAACCAACCACGGGGGGGGTTTGTGACAGGAAAATCCAGACCTCCTTTTTTCAGTTTTTTAAGTTATTTTCGAGGTTCTTTTGTGTAGGGGCAGCCTGTTTTAAACTCACTGCCCATGAATTATTTCAAACTCAAGCGTCCGCAAAAGTTTATACTCATAGGTTTAAAGGGTTCAATACCGACAAGGGGTCAACAAGACGCATGTGTACCCCTCTGGGGATACATATAAAGATATTGAATGCCGTACGTGTGCTTATTTAAAATTTTCAGCGGGTATATGTTAGTCAAACGGATTGTAGTGAACATCAGCACCATGGGATCTCGGACACGGGGAAATCTTTTCCATTTCTATGCTAAACCCGTTTAGCATAACTACTTCCACAGTGGGCCAGCCCATCTGTGATGCAAACTCCAGCTGCACACCTAAACCCCAGCTCCAGTATATTAGGTGTCCCCCAGCCCCTTAAGACTAAGAATGGAGGGCATATTACTCTCCCAGTGTAAAATTTTTCCCATATTCGACGAAAAGGGGGTTAAGAAACCGAAACCTTTCGGCAATAAAGTTACAAAAATGCTGCGCATGCCCTTATTTATCAAGATACTATTGACTGAAATTTTAGAAAATATTTTTTTTTTTTGACTCACGTTTCCCTTTGGGGGCAAACGTCACAAGGTAACGTGATTATGAAATTTATTAGGGGAAAGATTTTTGGAAAATTGTTCAGCAAAGAAAAAAAAAAAGTTTCCTTGTGCGAAATCCCTAATGCGAAAAGTCGATAAAACCAATTTGCTGATTTAATATGCTGATAATTTAAAAATTAGACATTATCTCACTTCGTCCTTCAAAAAAAATATTATTATTTATTATATATAAAATATTTAAATTATATTAATATATAGTATATATATTATATATATATATTATATATCCCATTAGTTGCACTTGTGTCCTTTTACCAACAGTTTACGTATATAAAAAACTATGCTTCGGTGTTAGAACAGAGGTTTTAATTACTAAACCACATGTGTTGGGTGACCAATACAGGTGTTTTGGTGTCGACTCGACGGGTGCACGTACCCTGGCCTCCTGACGGAGGGATGTGGCACGGTTGCTGGAGAGGAAACACACCTGTGATATAACCAAACAATGCGGGTGTGGGACAGGTGTGGGCCTCCTCCACACCTGGCTCGAAGGATTTTGGGGATGTTTTTAATTTATGGGACCGAAAAGAGTGGTGGGTGGATAAGCTGTTAAACGAACCTTGGAGAACGTTTCGCTCTATCCTGGACCAGGGTCAAGCCCCTGCTGGGTTTCAGGACGGACCGAAACGTTGTCTAAGGTTTTCCTATCCGAGTATTATTCAGTGTGAAATATACAATTCAGAATGTGAAATATTTCAGAGGGGAAAATATTTCAGAGTGGGGAAATATATTATAGTGGGGAATATATCAGTGGGAAATATTTCAGTGTGAAAAATAGCAGTGGGAAATATTTAAGTGTGAAATATATAATTTAAAGTGGGAAATATATCAGAGGGGGCCCACATATCATTCAGAGTGGGCATCATATTGATGTTAGTTGGAAAATTTTGAGGCGTAGAGAGGGAGGATGGGTGGGCGGCGGGCGGCTTTTTGAGGTCGGCACCCGCGTGCGCTGGTCCGGGCGGCTACCGCAGGGATATGGGCGTGGCCGCCCACCAGCTCCGCCAAGGGGGCGACGGTGGTGGCGGTGGTGGTCCAGGCGGACCGGTCCAACCCCGCCGCCACATTTTATGATCCGGCCGCTGCGGTGAACGCACCCGTCATGACGCTAGACCCACGGGCCCCCCGTGTCCCCCCCCGCCCCGCCGCCACCGCCCACATCCGCCGCCATGAGGACCCCCGTCCGGGGCCCCCGCCGCCCTCACCCCCCCGCCGCCCCCCCACGCTTTCCCGTCCCCTCCCTGGCGGGGGCAGCGCGTCCATGGTGCCGCGGTCGTCCACTTTCACAGCTGTCTTCCCATCCATTGGAAAGGCCCGATGCCTGACCTGGCGGCACTCAAACCTGGGTGCTTTCGAGTCCATACTTGGCACTGACCCGGCATCTCCCCGGGCTACGCAGCACACGCGCATCCCCCCCAGGGGGAAAAAAATTCGACTTCTCGCGGCTCGCGGAGAGCGTATCGGACAGAGAAGCGCGCCGCGAGCGCAAGTCCCCCGCTGCCGGCCCTCACCGGCCACCACCTTAGCGCAGGTAAACCCCGTTAATGTCCTCCGTTAGTCTCTACCGCTGCTTACGGACACGTACCCGCTGTTGCTGAGCCCCCCTCTAAACCCTACCATGTTTGGGGCAGCAGCAAACAGCAACAGCCCCAACAGCAGCAGCAACAGCAGCAGCAGCAGCAGCCAGCGCTGGGTATCGCAGGGCACTGGGCAGGGGCAGGACGCCCAGGCCAAGAAGCAATTTATTTGCAAATACTGCAACAGGCAGTTCACGAAGAGTTACAACTTGTTGATCCACGAGAGAACGCACACGGACGAGCGTCCGTACACCTGTGACATATGCGGCAAGGCCTTCCGTCGCCAAGACCACCTTAGGACCACAGGTAAGACCTGACGCTTCAGGACCATCTTAGGGACCACATCTAAGACCTGACGCCTTCAGTACCATCTTAGAGACCAGAGGTAAGACCTGACTCCTTCAGGACCAACTTAGAGACCACAGGTAAGACCTGCCGCCCTTGGACCATCCTAGAGACCACAGGTAAGACCTGACACCTTCAGGACCATCTTAGGGACCACAGGTAAGACCTGACTTCTTCAGGCCCATCTTAGGGACCACATTTAAGACTTTCCGTCGCTAGGACCACCATAAGAACACTGGTCAAAGACCACAGGTCTCAGCTCCTTCAGTAAGGACCCTCAAAAGGGTGGACGGGCACCTTGATGCCAGTGAAGTGCTCTTGATGCAAGGAATGAGAACCACCTTTCCCCTGATTACCTCTCATTTTCCTGGCGCTGTATGACCCATACAGGTTTAGCGCCTCCACATATTGAGATAATGAAAGCACACACAAAAACAACAACAACAATAGTAATAATAAAAATAATAATAATAATAATAATAATAATAATAATAATAATAATAATAATAATAATGAAAATTTATTATTATTTTATTATTATTATTATTATTATTATTATTATTATTATTATTATTATTAATATTATTATTATTATTATATTATTATTATTATTATTATTACTTTATTATTATTATTATTATATTTTTGTTCATTTTGTTGTGATTAATATTTTTAACTAATGAAATTAATTCTAATTGTTATGAATTTTTTCGTTGTTGTTATCATTACATATATATATATATATATATATATATATATATATATATATATATAATATAATATATATATAATATATATATATATATATATTCGTGCGAATATGTAAAACTGGTCAATTAGCAAGAACTCATTTAAATTAGTCTTTCTGAAAATTTCTCTTATACGTTTAAAGAATATTAAAATTTTTTCATTAATGTTTAATGTAAAATTTTTTAATTTTGCTCCAAAAGAATCATAGAAAAAACTTTACCTAACCTTATTATAACAAGAGCAATTTATTTTAGTCTAACCCAACTAAATATATTTTAAATACGTTTACACTAATTTAGTACTAAACAAACATAATCAAATATATTTTTTTTCGTTAGGTTCAGAATGATTTTGGGAAGTTATTGCATACACAAATTTTCACTTGTCCTATATGGCAAGATGAGCGTTGCTATTTAAGCCAAGATCGTAAATTCTGCCTATTCGGCAGAAATATATTATAATATAAATATATATATATATATATATATATAATATATATATATATATATATATATATATATATTATATATCAATATACAACACTGCACTAGCCAAGGACTCGAACCCATGCTGCTTTGGCCTGCCTCATGGTGGGCGAAAACACATGACGTCCTATACCACTGGCCAAAGCAGCATTGGTTCAAGTCCTTGGCTAGTGCAGTGTTGTTATTGATATATATATATATATATATATATATATATTATATAATATATATATATATATATATATATATATATATATATATAATATATATATATATATATATATACATTAATGATAGCAACAAGGAGTCTGTGGAGACAAAGAACTTTGTCCATTGAAGTAAAGAGGGGAATGTATGAGAGGATACTTATACCAACGCTCTTATATGGGTGTGAAGCATGGGTGTAAATGTTGCAACAAGGAGAAGGCTGGAGGCAGTGGAGATGTCGTGTCGTGTCTGGGGGCAATGTGTGGTGTGTGAATATAATGCAGAGAATTCGTAGTTTGGAAATTAGAAGGAGGTACGAGATTACCAAAACTATTATCCAGAGGGCTGAGGAGGGATTGTTGAGGTGGTTCGGATATGTACAAAGGATGGAACAAACTAGAATGACGAGAGTGTATTATCTGTAGAGGAGGGAAGGCGAGGTAGAGGTCGGCCTAGGAAAGGTTGGAGGGAGGGGTAAAGGAGGTTTTGTGTGCGAGGGGCTTGGACTTCCAGCAGCAGCGTGAGAAGTTAGAATAGGAGCAATGGAGATAAATGGGTTTTAGGACTTGACGTGCTGTTGGAGTGTGAGCAAGGTAGCATTTATGGAGAGATTCAGGGAAACCGGCAGACCAGACTTGAGTCCTGGAGATGGGAAGTACAGTGTCTGCACTCTGAAGGAGGGGTGTTAATGTTGCAGTTTTATAACTGTAGTGTAAACGTGCCTCTGGCAAGACAGTGTTGGAGTGAACGATGGTGAAAGTTTTTCTTTCTAGGGCCACCCTGCCTTGGTGGGAAACGGCGAATGTGTTATAATCATATATATATATATATATACATATATATATATATATTATATATAATTATATATATATATAGTAGTATAATTAATATATATGTATGTATGTTAGTATCACAGCCACTAAAAACAGTGGATAAAGCCCCACTCCACTCGGGTAGCAATAGCAGAGAATTATAGACTGATAGCGCTAACGTCCCACATCATAAAAACTTCCAAAATAGCTTTAAAAAGCAGCATTACTAGCCATATGGATCACAACAAGGAGGACCATGGTTGAGAGCTAGGTCGCTCCTGCCTCTCGCAGGTCGCTCCTGCCTCTCGCAGGTCGCTCCTGCCTCTCGCAACTCCTGGACCACTACGATATGGTCTTAGGTGCAGTGACAGATAAACAGAATGCAGCTGTAGTATACACAGACTTTGCAAAAGCCTTCGACAAGTGCGATCCTGGCGCAATAGCGCACAAAATGCGTGGAAAATTAATTAGTGGAAATGTGGACAGATGGATATTAAACTTCCTAACAAACAGAACAGGAGTAATAGTAAACAGAGTTATGACAGGCGAAATTGCAGATCTAGAGAACGTACAGTGAACCTTCAGTGCACGTGTAGGCTCAGTTTAGGACCTAAATTATTGGAAACGTTTATTCCTTGGAACACAGGTGAAAAAAATATATATCATAATTTTACACGTGGAAAATCCTAGAGGAACTGGTCCCAAATCTGCACATAGAAATCACTCCCTACGAAGCAAGAGCCTCAGCAGACTATTCAAAGTACCCCAATTGAGGATCAAGAGGACCTTGAAGACACTGAGAGTCAACCTAGTAAGTGCAGGGGACCCAAGACTGTTCAATATTCTCCCATCATACAAAAGGAGAATTACTTAATAAACCCCCAAGTTGTCTTTTAGGGAGAATTTGATGAACTCGTCAAGTTTGTTCATGACCAACCGGGCTGATCCGTACACTGTACTGCATATGGCCAGCAGTAACAGCCTGGTTGATCGGGGCCTTGATCTACCAGGAGGCTTAGTCTGGGACAGGACCGGGGGAGCACTGACTCTCGGAAACATCCTTCAGGTATCCTTTAGATATATATGGTAATCAGGTACCATAGCTGGAAAATTAATGAGAACATAACGATAGTAATTAAAAAAAAAATCCCAGATTTAATTCTGGTTGGTAAAGAAATTTCCCGACTAATCGGTATTTTAATACTGCGGATAACACTATATAATAAGATAACGTATATAAATAATGTTTTTTTTTTCTCTCACGAACAGGTAAGAGCAGTATGTTATATCGGGTTAGAACTGGGGACTTCTAAACGGTGATATATATTATATATTTGTAGTCATCACAGTTACTAAGATCATGAGATCAATTAGACTGTATATTTCTAAATCGTTGCTTACATTCTTGTACGACTGTATTCACGTGAGCAAGTTCTCATCTTGTCATAGAGAACCTACGTGGGTACGTTCACACTCTTGCGTTCTCATACGTATGTTTCTCATGCACGTTCTCACATTTATCTCTCAGTGTTCATCAACATCTGAACAATATAATCAATTGTTCATCTCAAGAGTTGTACATTCCTGACCTCAGATTAAATATTATTAGTATTATAATTATTATTGTTATTGATATTATTATTATTATTACTTTTCATTATTAGTAGTAATTATATTATTATTAAATACTATAAAATAATATAATAATAATAATAATAATAATAATAATAATAATAATAAATAATAATAATTATATAATAATAATAATAATAATAATAAAATAATAATAATAATAATAATAATAATACAACAATAATAATAATAATAATAATAATTAATTAATATTATTATTATTATTATTATTATTATTATTATTATTATTATTATTATTATTAAAAACGCTAAACTGATATGAGTTTTTAGCTTCATACATAATGAAACTAGAAGTTATTGTATGGAATCATTGGTAAAAACCTTCAAGGAAAGGTGCCCTGATTTTTGAGAAGGGCTCATGATTGATGGAACTGGAGGTGTCTATGCTTACTTGGATCCAATCTGATTACGTACAATATCCCAGGTGCTGCCTCACCCATTTGGATTTAGCACTTACCAACAAATAATAATAACAATAATAATAATTATTATCATTATTAAAAATTATCAATATTAATAATAATAATAATAATTATTATTATTATTATTATTATTATTCAATGTGACAGATATTGTAAATTTATGGAATAGGTGGTAGGTTACTAAATGTATTAAGGAGCTTTCACGTGGATAGTGAAGCTGAGTTTATTGTTTACCAATAAAAGTAGACCTCAGACAGTGATATGTGATGTCAGCGTGGGTGTTTACCTTAGTTACAGACGGTGTTGTAAAAGAAGTGAAGTTGCTGTGCAGATTAAAAGATAACACATCTGATACAATGAGGAAGTTGTCACATTTGCTCTTTGCTGATGGCACAGTTCTTTTGGGAGATTCTTAACAGAAGTTGCAAAGGTTGGTGGAGAAATTTAAAAGGGCATGCAAATAGAAATTCAAAATAAACATAGGAAAGAGCATGGCGATGGGAGTAACAAACAAAATAAAATACAGGCATTGAAAAATTGGATATCAGAGTTGAGAGAGTGAGTATAGAGGAACAAAATGTGCTTAGATAATTTGGAGTGAACATGTCAGCAGCTGGGTCTATGAAAGATGAAATGAATCATAAAAATTTACAAGGGAAAGAAGGTAGATGGTGTGTTGGGACTTTTGTGGACAGAAAGAAGCTTATCTATGGAAAGAGAAAAAAGAGTGTTCCAGAGTATAGTGGTGCTA